AGACAACCGTCCAGTTTATTATATAAAATATGGTCCAAATTTTGAGTTAGAGGTAGTATCAGATCATTCCTCTAGCGATGCAGCAACAAAAGTTCAAGAGGTTAGTAATCTTATTAGGTTTAATTATAGTAATAATGTATATATAAAATATTTATCAAAATTATTGTTAGGCAATAAACGAATTAAATGGAGATTTAAACAAAAGTCGGATGTCAGGTCCTTTACTTTTTGGTCTTCATCTTAAACAAGTTCAAAAGGGTCGACCATATATTAGACCTTTGAAACGTTTTAATAAAATAAGTATTTCTGCTAAAAAATCCCGTGCAAGAACTTTTGCAAAAAACATTAAAGAAAATTTTAATCAAATTGCCAAAGAAAATTATCATCCTAATGATCAAGTTACTCTTAAGGAACTGTCTTATACAGTTGCAAATACGCCTTTTCAAATAGAGTTTGGATCTCAGAATACAATAAAAAAAAATAAGCATGAATTAGAAATAGTACAAATAATTGATAGGTATCAAATACCACGGGATGGATATCGTGCTTTATCAGCTATTCAACCAGAACTATCTCGTGATCATATAATCTCTAATCAACGTATAGCTTTAACATCAAAAATGGCAAATCTTATACCAATTAATATGATCAATCTTAACCAAGATGAAAAGGCAGCACAACGAAATATTAAAGATCTACTTTTGTATATACTTCCTCATTTAGTAAATACTGGAATTCTTCATCCTTCACAACCTGTTATTAACATACGAATCTCAGGCGATGGCTACAACATAGGAAAAAAGGTTAACCATGTGATAATAACCTTTGCTATTTTGGATCAAAAAGAGATGCTATATTTACCAGACAATCATTATACTATAATTATATATTCCGGTATTGAAAACTATGTGTTATTAAAAAATGCAACACAGCCACTTGTTACAGAATTAAACGAATTACAAGAAACCGGATTTATTGATAACAATAGAATTAATTGGAGTGTCAATTTATATTTTTCTTCGGATTGGAAATTTTTAGCATTATGTTTAGGTATCAACACAGCAAATTCCATCAATTTTTGACCCTGGTGTCAATGTAAAAAAACAGATTTTGGTAATTTAAAAAAACGATCATGGACAATTAAAAAGGATATGAATTTAATTGCATCCAATTATTTGGCCTATCCTGGACATATTCGAGCACCATTATTTCCAATGATACCGTTAAATCAATGGGTTCCAGATGAACTTCATCTTATGCTTAGAATAACTGATCGGCTATGGTCTTTAGTAATTTCTGAATTAGAACAAAATGGAGAATTCGATGATGATATGCGTGAAACTATCTGTAATGAAATGAAAAAGTGTAAAGTGAAGTTTCAATTTCAGAAAGACCAAAATACAACTAAATGGCAATATACCTCACTTCTTGGCCAGGATAAGCTTAAGGTGCTACGAAATTTTGATTTGTCAGCAATCTTACCACCAAATCGGGCTAAAAAGATTAGAATCTTATGGGATAAATTTGATCAATTATATCGTGCTATTAAAAGTTCGAACACTAATCCTTCGCAACTCGCCTTAGATGCTAAAGAGTGGGAAACATATTTTCTTCAACCAGATATTATTGATCCTAATAATCCAAATATTATTATAGAGAAAGGATTATATCAGCCATCTGATATTACACCATACATCCATGTATTGGTCTATCATATTCCAGAGTTTATAGAAATGTATAAAAAGTTTGGACTAGGCTCATTCTCTTGTTCTGCAATTGAAAAAAAAGAATCACCAGCAGTCATCCTTTTTTTTCGCCAAACACTTAAAGATGGTAGCAATTCAAATCAAAATGCATGTGTAATTAGAAAAATAATGAATTATGAGAACCGTCAACTTAATTATATTTACAATAATTATTCTTTCAATAAGTCGATAAATATTCGGATTATATAGTTTATTTTTTAGATGACTACATATTTTTAGATTTCAATTTTCTTGAAGCTTCCTAAATAGTGATCTATTTTTTAGATTTTAGAATTATAAATTTTGATTATTGTTCTTAATAATAGAAATGAATCAAAATTTTTATATTATAAATTTCAAGTCAGCAAATATTTAGCATTTGAACTATTACAAATTTCATTTACTTTTTTGCTTATTCGAACTTGATTATTTGGAACCAATACAAATCTAAAAAAAATACGGTTATTAGAAAACAAAGGTTTGCTAATTTAATTTTATTCATATTCCAATTTGTTCTAGTATTTAGGATATATTTAACATAAAACTATTTAATTTAGGGTGATGAAGACCTTAAAATATAGTCTTTAGCGAACATCATGCTTTTGTACCAAAAAAGGAGATAGAATTATAGATCAGTGGATTTATAGAATTAACTCTTTTTTATTTGTCTAAGTTTTTTATTGTTGTTTAGAATATTGGTTATAATATGTATATTATTTTGATTTTATGCGACTAAACTTTGGAATATATAAATAGCAAAACATCAAAAATCATCACATTAAAAGGGAGAGTAGAGTAATGTTATAGTACCGCAGGTAATCTGTATTACCAAATTTTCTAACGTATTCTATATATTGTATACTACTAAATTTCCAACATTTACTCATCCGCTTTAGTGATATAATAGATCGATTCAAGCATGATTGCAGCTTATAATGATTTAATTAGTCAAGTGCAAATGTCGCATAAAGACATACATATTAGATTGAGTGATACGTATATAGGCTTATAGTTTAGTTTAGATGTCATGGTTCTTTAATCTTCTACTGGAGAAATGTACTTATCCTGTTAATTAGTAGAATTAATAATTCTGGCCAATAACTAAATAAGCAAATTCTTTGACCCATTAATTCAAGATCGGTTGATCAATTAAATAATGCTTTGTAAGCATTTAGGTTGCCGTATGTAAAAATTTATCAAGCTAAAATGTGTACATTATTAATCTAAAATTTTTCAGATTCACAATAATTTACTTTTGGATTTAGTGATTCTAGCTAATAGCTATAAAATCGGCCAAGTAAATTTCGAACCGGACTAGCTATAACTAATTTAGGCTTATTTATTTTTATTTAAATAATACATTATAAAAAAGTTTAATAATTTGAATGTAAATGTGTATTTAATTACTTTATTTATTTTGCTTATGACAAAACAATTTATTTTTTATGAATGTCCTCTTGCTACTGAAAACCTAAAGCTAATATATCCAGCCCAAATAACGTGTCCATGTGTATCAGTCTTAACTTTCTGGTACCAATCTACCGTAACTTGTGTAATTTTCGGTTTAACTTCTTTTTGTTTCGAATGTGGTGCACGTTCACGTGAAGGTTGAAATGTAACATAAGTTCGTTGTTCATTAGCAAAATATTTAACACCTCATTGTTTATCATCTAAGATTTGACCAAGCAAAGAATATGCATTGTCGCCTCTAAACAAGCATCTTACTCTTCCAGATCTTAAAAATCGACGATGAATATGACCTTTAAACACACCATAAAATTGGCTTAATGTACATGCCATTAATACCCTTTGTGATCCTGAATGTTTGAAGTGTGCCTTTAACTGATCTTGAATAATCTTGACAAATATTTTCTTTAATTAGAGTTTGCTTTTGAAGGAAGATTATAAATGCCCGGGAGATTCTTATTATAACTACGAACAATAGTGTTATGCTGTGTTAAACCTCGTTTTGTTTTATAACATTTTCCACAAACAGAACAGCTATAAAGCGATTCTTCTAATGATAACTATATATTATTAAAAATAAATAAAATTTTCTAATAGTAAATAATAAACACTTAAAAATCTTAATACATACAAGCATTTTATAAAGCAAATTCTATTAAATACGTTTTGTAAGTAAAATACAAGTAAGTTAAATAAAATATTTAATATATATATATATATTTTTACAATTAATAATTGCTTCTACCTTTTTTTGATGGGTTCATAGGACGGACGATGGGTTAGACACAATAGTTTACATATTAAAATTTATTTACTATAGTCTTAGTAAATATGTAAATAACCAATCAGATAGTTTGTTAATTAAAAAAGGCCCTAAAAAAGTGATCTACATATATATAAAAAAAGGTCCAAAAAACAAAATCAGCCGATATGTCTTTGTTTTTGTCTCGTCGGGCTGATCCGGGTAAATCAAAATTTATTATTTGATTGGCTGTTGGTCACGTGAACAC